GTAACCTCTTATCGTTATTAAGCACAATGGCCGCTCGATAACAATAACAGGATGCTTGTCGACACCACGTGCTTTTAGAATAAAACAGTGATTGTTTCCCATAAAAATTGTGTTCTATTAATGTGTTTCTCAACAACCAAATGCCACTAAAAGATTATAATTTCTAAGTTTCTGATAAAATTTGAACATCTATTGTGTGGTCCAAATCCCCAGACGAAAATTATGTGAGGTACATATAATATGAAGCCTTAACATGGCTTGGAATTTCCAATTATCAACATAGAATCTCTGTGCATAGAGAACAATTGATGAGATTTGGTGTTGTATTCTATTGAAGTGATTAGCAAGCACTACACAGTTTAAAAATTATTTGTGTCTTTTTACGTGTGTTTAAACAGTTACGGTTATATATTTTAAGACCCTCAGAAACCATTTGAAATTGGAAAAAGATTTAAAATTTGTCTTTTTCTTAAATTTCGTAACTAGAGAACAGTGTAGTTAACGACAACAATCTATTTCCAGTTCATTTTCCAATTGAATAAGGGATCAAACACGGCTTGACAAAACGAAGAGTAGCCAAGTGAAATCATATGACTTGTCTGTGCATGTTGCTTAAGTGAGAAGGCCAACTCTTTATCCATATTTTAAATATCGTCCTTGATACATAATTAGAGACTGGGATCATTTCAAAAAGTAAGGTGTTCATCTCTCTGATCTTTATTGTTTCCAAGATGGTTTGGGTTAGACTCATATTTTTATTTTAAAATCAACCTTTCCCTTGTTTTTCACCTTTCCATAACCGGAATGGGGGCCACGTTACTTGTACGGTTAAGACTTTGAAATCACGTCTTGGATTCGAGATGCGGCGTGTGCCGAGAAAAACATTTCAGACGTGTGTAAACCCTGCTCTGGCATACCTTGGTAATGGCATTAAGGCGGACGGAAAAAGACGTAACTTTGATGGGACAAAAATACCAATTAGGAACTTAGAGAAGGGTAAAAAGAAACGCCGGCGTTGGGACATCGGACGCGCAATAATAGATACAAAATAACATGATAGTCCATAACCCGTCTTCATTAATTTATCCCTGCTGGATATGTACATTCAGGCCCCTGGTCGCTGCGGAGTACGATCTATGAATGCTAACCCTAACTGAATATACCACACGCATGGGACGATGACCAATATAAACACACTTACTATTAATGTCTACAAATTTTCTCACTAAAGCTTTTGCTAAAGATGGATTTTCTGCTACCAAATCTGCCATATCATTAACTGACAACACTTCACTGAAACGAGAAAAGACGGAAAAAAATTAAAGAAAATCACTCTATCATAATATTTAATAAGTCTACAGTGAATATCACTGAAAATGACACAAGGGTCATAGAATACAAACAAAAGCTCGTTTTTCTCTTTCAGTATGGCATCAAGGAACCCACAACTAGTCAGTCAGTCTGTTACGTTCATGAAATTTAATCAAAGTTTTCATAAATCTCGGCAAAGTGTTTAATCAAGCAATGAAAAGGGGATATAAATAACAAGAATAGACTCACGTGATTAAGGAGTGAATCTTGTTTGCCAAAACGCTTATATATTTGCCTAACAGATTACTAATACAAAAGCATCCCCACGTAAGCTAATGAATGGAAAATTTATCATCTAAAAATTGACTTTCGTCACTTTATGATCTCGGGTTTCTATCCTACTTTATTTAAAGTATTGTGTTAGTCTAGTGTCTGATTAATCACGGTACAAGTACAACTGTCCAATTTATCTTATGGTCGACCTTTTGATACCATCTCCACTACGTCATTATATAGGGCCTATCAATGAAATGGATGAATGGGTAGCCTATAAATTTACTCGCTTGTGAATGAAAAAAGTTAAGGAACGCAAAACGACGTAAGTGTGAATTCTGCTATTGCATGCCTTTATTATTTTATTCATTATTTCTTTTCTTTAAAGAAACAGGTTTTATGTGAGAAACTGCAACATGTAATATTCTTCCTACGTCATTGTAAAAAAACCGTGACTAACACAATTATGATCTAATGTGCGGTCATATTTCATCTATTTCAATAATTCGCTTTGGAAGCAGTGGTCTTTAGCAATTAAATAAAATCGAACAACAAAGAAAACACGAGATTAAGTATGCGTGGGATCGAAAGCACTACAGATATATAGATAAAATGCTATGCAGTATAATTGTCTTCTATACATACTCTTCCCGCCCTGCCACGTGGACGACATCAGGGTGGATCAATGTCTTTCTCGACCAAATCATGGCAATTAGTGCAATGTTGTTTTCTATAACTGGTCCTGTTTAAGATATGCGAGGCGACTTAAGGAGCCATTCGCGCAACTCAATTTTGTAATCCGAATCTTTTTTTTCAGGTTTCTGAACTCAACGTGCATGTGACAAATTACAAATTACAGAATGCGTGAGATGTATTATACAGGAGTTAACAAAAAATATCAAGTCTTAACAGCAATGTATCCTATTACAATTTGCACACATTCAAAATGGCGTGCAATCAGAGAGCAAAGCGGATGAAAATGACAAGCGGAAAGCCCTTCCCAAGGGTAATATGTCTCTTGACGTAACACGACATAATAAAACTCGTTTACATCAATATAAATGGCGTTCATTCGATGTCTTAATTCTGGAAAAATCAATGCTGATAATAGTCAAGATGATTGGAACTAGTTTCATCCAATGGCCTTCTCATTCAAAAAGCTAGATCTATTGCATTTACCCTGCTGATCAACACTTTGTGATCTGTGACAATTAATCTTTTACTGATTAGTGTCTTTATATGAAATGCTAGTGATGTCAACAATTCAATGCCAATTAAAGAACACGTTTATTATGTCTGCAAAAGACTTTGTGATGTCTTTTAGGTATTTACTGATTAGATTCAATCGAATTTCGTTCCGTTTCGATCGAATTTTATAGACTTCAATCTTCAAAAGAACCTGGGTTCAAAATCTCTTCTGCACTTTTCATAGAACTACTATGTATTGTGAAATTCTCAAAAGCAAACATGTTTTGTTTATTAGTACTTTCCTACTTTAATATAAATCCATCTAATCCCTTGAAATTTAAGATCAGTTTGTCCAGCCTCTGACACTTGTTGTTGCCGGATATGACATTATATTCGACACATTCTCCTGTAATGGAGGTATAGTTGGTGTGGCAGATATCCACGAATTAAAAATAATTCAATCGATACCACAACGTATTCAAATTTATTTTCTGTTAAATCTGAGATCAACTATAGCTAAATAAGGTTTTCATATTTTGTACATGCCATCGTAAAGGTTAAAAGGGGACTTTTAAGTAACCATTCTATTAAAGAAAACAGTCTTACTTTTACGATTCCATAATTGGTTAACATCTGCAAATGATAGCACATATTCGGTAAATTCTCAAATGTATTCGAATTTATCACGGATTGAATATTTCGTGAACATAATGTGGCCATTATCTGGGATCACCAGTATATGATTGATATTGTTTTCCTTTTGTGGCTCCGTAACTTTTGTGCGCTCTGATATTTCACGCAAAAGCAAATCATGACTTTTTTATATAAAGATTCATTTGCAGATCACTTCTATTTCTGTTGTTTGTATTTTTTCTAATGGAAACCATGTAAAAACATCGCTAAAGTAAATCGATTCATTTCCGTTTGAAGCTAAGTAAAACAATGTCCTCGATTACTTGTTATGTCCCCTTTGTCGTATTTTTCCTAAAGCAATTTAAACACCATCTGTGTTACAAATCTAACACGTAAAGTTTTAAAAATTATCAGCTCACTATGCCACCTACTACAACCTGCATATTTCTTTCTAATTAAAATGATCGTGACTTTGCCATGTGAAATTAATTACCGATTGTGAAAAAGAGCGAAATTAAATTACAAATTATAGTTCAAACAATTATAGCATTATTAATTGCAAAATATCATACTCTCTAAATTATGCCGTCGAGACAATATATATTATGAAAACATAAATGAAATTAAATTCAAATTGATGTGGGTGGTGTTTTTTTTTTTTAATAACGTGGAAGATTGACGTACAGAATGGGTTTTATTTATTTTTACATCAATAGACAAAAAAACATACTTGGATATAAAAAAACTAAGCAGACAGAAACATAAATCAAAAACCCCGTCTATTTTATTCTGACATAAAATAATCATAAAAACAGCAATCTTTGGCATACAACGGTGTCTTAAGAATGAAATATAAGATACTTTTAACATCAAATTCATAATCTAGAAAGATTTTTTTTTCAAAAAAAAAGGAAAGCAAAGCGAGAACAAATCAAATCTTATAGATAAAAAAAAACGTACCTAAACTTTCCAGATATTTCAATTTTGGCTTTTAATCGATACATGGATTTAAAGAATTGTACATGCCTTAACAAGAATGTAATACAAGATGAAATTAATTTTGAAACAAAGGGATTTGAACTCGTATAAGCCAATTAAACAGAATACTAAACATCTATGACGGAATATGGTGCAGACTCCGAAAATATGATACCCCTACTTCAGATGAAAAACTCACATAGATATGCAATCGGTCTTAATCAAATATAAAAAAAACAACCAAGTAACTGTCGACGAATTGAACAAAATGATTTATAGAATGTCGATATGTGTATTACAAGGGAACCGTATACCCTGCATAATGCATGTAACCCGCCAAATGAAAACATGTATATTCCAACAGTTTGGGGAATAAATAAAAGGAGACAGAACTTAAAATAACAAGTAAATAGTACTTACCTCCCATCGTCGTTTCTAAAATAATTTTTCCAGGAAGGGAAATCTCTTTTACCATAACCGTGTGCTACTCTGCTTGCTGAATTGGCTCTGAATCCGCGTTTTATTCTGTGGCTATTCGAAGATTGTGGATAGGCTTCTGCTAAAACTGTAATTGTAAGACTAATTGTCACTAACACGAGCGTTAACTTCATTTTAAAAAGTTTCTGATAAATTTGAGTGATAACTTGTTTCTGAATTTGTCTCCACCAGCTCTGCAAAAGATTGGAAATAAATTAAACAATTTTTTCACAAAGTTAAGAATCGGGAAGAAAAAATATCAAATTTGTAACCGTAACAAGAAAATATTCACTTGGGTGACAACGTCAATCCAAAAACCACTCAAGTGCCAACGATTCAAATCACTTTGTAAATATAATGTCAATTATTTCATTTTTGTTTCTAAATAAGCCTTTGATAAAAAAAATTGAAAAGATAGACACGTAGACAGCGCATCATATACACAAAAATAAAAAGTGGCCTTAATCCAATATAGAGAGAGAAATATTATACTAGTATCTCCATTGAATATGTCCACAATCTCTGCCAGTCGATAAAGGAATGATAATAATACACCTGATCGTAGTGTTCAACTGTTCAATGAAGAGTTATTATAATATATACACACACAGACTCACACACACACACACAATACCGTCGTATCAGCTTCTGTCAATAATTATTGCCTTAAAGGATGGTTTATATTAGTGACTACAGTGACTGAAATTATTTAAGGGTGGGAAGAAAACATGTAGGTGTCAATTGATTATGTACCTACACGATTCGTTTCATGACAATGGGTGTTTTAATAACTAATAGATTATTATTTTTATTTATTTATTCATTTCGACATAGGTAAGGTAAGAAAACGGTTGACAAACTACAATCGGGATGTTTTGAGAGAGAGAGAGAGAGATTTCACCTGTAATCTAAAGCACACACACTTGACCATTATGACGACAGAGGACGCTAGTGATGAGCTGTCAAACGGCTCGTACAAATGATAAAACAATAGCTGGACTACGGTTCTTTGATGATATACATTCTTCCTTGTAATTTATAGATTTATATAATAATTATTAAGCTCTTTATATAGTTTTAATTTAAACAAAGTAATTCGTAAATAATTTCGTAGAGGAGATAAAGTATGCTAAAATCGTTTCAGATTGATAGAAAGACGTATATCGACATTATCTTAATAAACGTTGCATTGGATAAAATTCACCTGAAGAAATATTGTCTACAGGTGTTTACTTCCTTTTGTTTTAATCCTTTTTATACACTAAATGTTTACATATTAACATAAAAAGACAGCATTAAAAGTAAAGATACAAATGTTAATTTTAGTGTACAAATTTTAGTATACAAATGTTTAAGTACGACAAAAAATGAAGAAATAAGAATTAAGGGCTTTGAATCAAGAATTAAGCATTAAGAACACTGAATAAAGAGCTGTCTGGTTTTCCATATATATCAACATCCCACGCTTTAATATAACTGGAATCAGGTGTGTTCAGTATAACTACCAATAATCTTTTCCATTTTTTTGTTGTTTTGGCTGGTAGATCATTTGCTTATCTAATTTAAGAACCAGAAATAAGCCAAACATACGCCATATTTTATACTTTTAATGCGTATTCCGATTTACATTTTCTTTATTGCTTTAAGCCGTTTGATTAAATTTGAGTAAAAGTTCATTACTAACATGACAACATCAGTGGGCAAATGGCCCTCTAGTTTTTCTCTACTCTCTTAAAATGAAATGAAATGGGATTTAATGCCCTACTTTATCATATCATATATATTTCCTTAAATATATTTTTAACGTGAAAAAATGGGTCACTTAGCGTTTTACTTTTATCTAAAACATTTTTTATAAAGACCGGAATCGTATTATACAATTAACTGACCTAATAAGTCCACGATAAATTAAATAAGTTAATTATTACCGAGCGTTAGACACTGAACCTGGCGTTGTTATCCTAGTGCCTGCTAGATAACGCCGGTGCTCATCCATACGTAATGGCGGTTATGATAAAGGACAATATTGGTGTCAGTCATTATCACATATGTAATAGAACTGGTTAAACACGTTCCAACTATAATTGCTACGATAGATGCGTAATGAAGATTTGAAGAGACGGAAGTGATGAAAGCAAAAGGAAAACACGAGTTTAGTGTTTAGTTATGCGGATGGGTACACAAAAACAAGACGCGTGTTCCCGTTGGCGTGCACGTAAAATAACCCTTCACATTTGAACTCTGAATTAAGAGTATACCGTAGCGACGCTGCCCGGGCAAAATATCCCTCATAGAACACTATCGGCTAGGCCCGTCTTCATTAGCTCAGATGGGACAGAAAGGTAGGATGTTAAATCCCATTTCCTTTCCATTTCAATACATTGCATCCGATACCATAGTAAAGAGACGACTAAAGAATGATTTTGTAACACCGCAATTGATCAAATCACCGTCGTTTCGTCTTAATACGAAGCATAACGTCCCCTATGGGCAATTAATCAAAGTAGGATAGGGGAAGGTTGTCCATTGGACGAATTTGTCTGATACAATTATTGAAAATATTGTTGGGAGCACTTTTAATTTTCTTGCTACAGTTTGCCAATTTGACATGGCGTGAGTTCTGTGTAACTAATTATCAAACCTAATTACATGTTTGACACCATGGGTGTATTCCTACGCTACAAGGGTGTTTGCAGATTACCGTGGCTCTAAAGGAGCAATTAAAATCACGCACAGTATCTGAAAACAAACGTTGAGTAAGGTGGTCTTGTCTAAAATGTGTGCATATAGATCAAAGATTTATATTCTATTATGAGGCGACTTATGCCAATCATAAATGGAAACTAGCATTTTGAATTTCTTCGGTAAAGTACTACGGGCCTCCAAATATTTACACAGAACGCATCCAAGATTCTTTCACGCAGAATGTTTAATTCATTTAAATAAATATGAAACTGTTCCTTTAAATTAAGAATGCCACACATACGGAAAATACCAACGTACAGAGAAATTGCTAGTTATATGAACATCCCAGATAGAAGAGACATTATATAATAGAGTTAATCGACTAGTTCGCTTTTCTAACAATACAGGTACTTTATTATATGTTCTGTAAAGGTTGGTAACACGCTGGGTATTGGCAGTGGGTTTTTATAATATACTTGGATGGAATGGAAACGAACGACTTTTAGAAATGGATGATTGGAAATCTTGCAATTTGGAATGTAACAGCATCAGATCACGACCATAACACACGTGAATGATGTTTCTACTGTCATGTAACCGAAACACATATCAATTCTCTCCAACACAAAAATATTAATTCGATAGAATGGGAATGTTGAAAATTCCGAATTTATGGTGCAGATATAGGGTATAGCATGTGCTTTTAAAAAATAATGGGGTCAGTACAACTCCTCCAATTATGTAGAACACAACGATATGTCAAGGCTCATACCTGAACACTGAGAACGTGTCATTGCTTTAATTCAAGAGGGTATGTGTAACAGAGCACAGTAGCGAGAGTAGGGATGGGGCCCACAAGGAGACTTGTTCCACGATGTCTTCGAATTGGATCACTGGATTTGGTATTTTGTCCGTCGTTTAAGACCAATTATGCTTCTATTTTATTAAGCTCGGGTTAATTTAGCTATCAATCAAAACTATGATAGTGTTTATGAGAACTCTTCATTAAGTAATAACATAGTATTTATTGGTGTATTCTTGGTGAAGACAGATCGTCAAGAGAGGGGGTCACTATTAATCATGTTGAATTGTGTTGAATTATACAGTACACAAGAATCGATATATTTATTGATTACTATTGGCACCCATGACAATAGTAACACTTGGAATTAAAAACCAATAATATGAAGGCGTGAAGAGCTAAGATTATAGGATTAATCACCCAAACAATAAGATTCACCCACATTTTACAAGAGATGGCTAGAGAACAAGCTAAAAAAAAGCGACTTTTCGTATAATCAGGGGCAATTATCCAGGAAGTTATGGTCTGAAATGCGCGAATATCGAAAGGAGCTGAGATATTTGGGATATAAAGTTATATTTTAAATTCATCAAAATCGGAAAATAATTGTGACTTCAAGAGGGTCCAAAACCTTGGTATTACACACTTTTACACTATTTGTGTACAAAGAGCGGCCATTTTGTCAGGAAGTTTCGTTCCGATTTTCACGAAATTCGAACTCAACTGTCATTAGGGAGTAATGATGATGCATTTAAAGTTGTTTTGGGTTTTTTTTAAATTCGGATAAAAAATTATGATATCTAGAGGGACCACAAGCTGAAAAGGTGATTTTTCGTACAATCAAGGGCCATAATATGCGCGAATATCAAACGTAACCAAGATACGCCCACATTTTGCAAGAGATGGATAGAGAACAGGCTAAAGAAATGCGATTTTTCGTATAATCAGGAGCCAGTACCCAGGACGCTATGGTCTGAAATGCGCGAATATCGAAAGGGACTGAGATATTTGGGATATAAAGATATATTTTAAATTTCATCAAAATCGGATAAAAATTGTGACTTCTGGAGTGTCAACAACCTTGGTATTACATACTTTTACACTATTTGCGGACAAGGACCGGCCATTTTATCAGGCAGTTTTGGTCTGATTTTCTCGCAATTCTAACTCAACCATCATTAGGGTGTAACAGTGATATATTCAAATGGTTTTTAAATCGAATAAAAATTGTGACCTCTAGAGGGACCACTAGCTAAAAACGCGATTTTTCGTACAATCAAGGGTAATTCAGGAAGTTACGATCCGAATATCAGAACTAACCAAGATCTTTTGGTTAGTTTCATCAAAATTGAATCAAAATTATGACCTCTAGAGGGTCCACAGCCTTAATATACCATATATTTACACTATTTGCGTACAAGGGACGGCCATTTTGTTCGGTAGTTTTGGTCCGATTTTCGCGAAATTCGAACTCGACCAACATTACGGTATAACGGTGGAACAGTATTCGAGCGTATTTTTTTTTAAATCGGATAATAATTGTTATATCTAGAGCGACACAAGCTAAAAACTCGATTTTTCGTACAATCAGGGACCATAATTCAAGAACTTACGACCTTTGGGTCAAGATCCATCAAATTCAGATGAAAATTGTTACCTCTAAAGTGTCCACAAGCTAAACACGTGATTTTTCGAACAATCAGTGGC